CCCCCGGCCGCCCGCAGCTTGTCGCACACGTGCTAGTTCAGAAGAATGAGAAAATGCAACCGCCGAAAAAAAACAGGAATGTTGTTGGCTTGACGTTTCGGACTCTCGCTCGAATTCATCATCTTCTGAACTGTTTCCTGAAACTTGCCTCTGTTTGACACATGCTACTCCCTACAAACAGACTAACAAGACTTCGCGATGAATTCTACGAGCGCGAGTTAGTCTAAAGACCACATATAGAAGGAAGCAATTGCAGATTTACCATTAGATGGCAGACCTTGGTATGCTATTCGGTAAGGATAGGTTATAAGCATCACCATAGTATCACATAACCTAAGATTTATGTAATAAAAGGAAGAAAGTAATGTGGAACATATTTCTTTTGCGTGTTCCAATAGCAACTAAAACAATTTAGTTTACAACGAACCACTCGCTATGACTATCTAAACACAAATGAAATAATATGAACTACATATTACATACATAGACACTTAAAAACATCAGAAGCATATTATTTAAGTTACTTTTAATCAATTATAACGTTTGGTTCTTGGTTAAATATGTAGTTCAATGGATATGTCATCTCTACATACAAAAGGTAAAAAACTTTCATGCTATCATCGATCCCTTAAAAGAGAACTCTAGAGGAAACTGCACAAGAGAAGGATCATGACAATAGCAGCATTTATTGACGTCATACAATTTCGCAACCTCTTATTCAACGCCTTATACTCACGCCTCCTCCCTCCCCTACTATGACCGACTGCTGTCCTGTCATTCCCCTCTCGCTTGACAGGCTTTCCCTGTAGCATGAATTGCCTTGCTGTGATAACTATCTTCCTTCCTCCGCTACCCCTCACTATGCACCCAGTTCTAAGACTCATAGCTCCTATTCTTTTTACCTATAATATTTCACCTTTCAAGGTCGATACGTAATTGGACAGTTAATTTGTTATTAATAGGCAGTGATCATTCGCAGTTGAATAAGAAGTAACGGAATTGTGTGACGTCAATACATTCTGGTAGTTTCATGATGTTCGCCTTGTTTAAATTTCTTTCGGGAAAACAATGTTTCCATGTCCTGGAGTAAACGCTCATCTCGTCAATACCTATAAACTATCCCTACCTGTCCCGCCGTTCGTAACCAACCACTTTAGTAGGTGGGCGATAACTTAACTTCCGTTTTTGTCTTTCACATTCAAGTACCCATCGCTACACTGATTTAAATGGCCCGATAAAACTCATTATTGTTGCCGCTCTCATGATGCCGTGGTGGTGAACGTTGGTAGTATCAGGGAGAGGTTGCAGCTTGCAGCTTTGGCAAACAGACAGATCATCTAATTACACTAAAAGTGATCCGAGAATATTAAATAAGAGCCACTTGCAGTTTGTTTTAATGTGCTAAATAGAACCAACTCCATCAGCATAGACTCCTGTTGCTCAGGCAACTGATGCCTATTGAGGGAAACTTGACCTTATTTTGGCGGAATTTAACAAAAAATGGAAACTCGACTTTATATTGGCGGAATTTAACGAAAAACGGAAAGTCCGGCTATTGCAAAATGTAGGCAAGTATAAACGCTAAAGACAGTCCCCAAGTCATTTCTATACACAAAAGCAAAAAAACTGTCATACAGTCGTCGCCGGTTATTAAGCCCACGGTTAATAGGCGCAGCCGCGTATTAAGCCCAAATCAGTTTGGGACGGAATTTTACATAGCAAAATCG